GCACATTGATTTGAAGAGAAGAGAGCCTTATTTGGTTCCTAGTTCCTAAAACAAAATATCAAGATCTGGCTGAAATACTTTGAGAGGACAGAAAATTGAGAAATTGAATTGAAATGACTCAAGACTGAAATGTGAGGTTCTTGGTGCTCTCTGAGCTTAATTGTTTGCTTGCACATATTTCACTCCCTGACTAGTAACATCATCAACGTGTATGTAGGTTTACTGCCTGTTTATATATAATGCATTGCAGCAAACCTCATATTAAGAGCCACGGTGGCACAGTGGTTAGAGTGCAGTACTGCAGGCTATTTCTGCTGCCTGCTGCCTGCTGCCTGCCTGCCTGCAATTTGGCAGTTCATATCTCATCAAGCTCAACATCAAGGTTGACTCAGACTTCCATCCTTCCGTGGTGGGTAAAATAAGAGCCCAGATTATTGGGGGCAATATGCTGACTCTGTAAACTGCTTAGAGAGGGCTGTAAAGCACTGTGAAGTGATATATAAGTCCAAATGCTATTGCTAAGTGCTATATTCAGTTACATTGGTGTTGTTACCTAGTTGGGTAATGAAATGTCTGCAAGCAAAACTCCAAGTTCAAAATGCACCAAGAACTTCACATGACAGAATTTTTGCCTGACATAATGTTCTTAAATGCTTTAAAATAAATTCTGGTCATGTTGAAGGGATTTATTCATTTTATTGAGAAAACATTGTGGAGGGAGTAACTAGAAATAGATTTCGTCTCATCTGACTGAAGCTCCAAAGTAGCTTACCAAGGAGTTCTGGGAAGAAACCCAGCTGGAATTATTTCATACTTGAACATTTATTCTCTTTGCACATCCTCAAGTATTTGAACAGGTGGTACAGACCAAGCCCTTCTTGGAGTTTCTGTTGTGAGCTAAATTGGTTAGAAATCTCCTGGCATATATAATCTTTTCAGAATATTTGGTAATTTATTTCCATTTTCTGTTCAAAGTTGCCTCTTTTCCCCCCACAGAGATTCTTCATCCTCTTTCCATGGTGAGATGTATGATACATGCGAGTCAACTAACTAAATAAATAAATAAGCAAACCCCTTGGAGGATTGTCCCCATTAGCAAAAAGGAAGAACAACACAGGGGCCTCATTCAAGAAAAACCTTCACATTCATCTCCTGTGCTTGCACGTGATTTGACTCTAATATCTATTCGCTGTGCCTGCTAGAATTAATTCACCTGCCTTGTTGCAGTGCCAAAGAGAGAGAAAAAGAACTTGGTATCTGAATTTCCTTGTGCACGGAGCCCTCTTCAGGAAGAAAAGAGAGAAAGAAGAACCACAACTGGAGATAAAAGAGGCTAGATTATCTGCAAAAAAGGAAAAGCAAGACATGGAATAGTCACTGCTCATCCATACTCAAGAAAAAAGGAATTGCTGATTTCCTAGCTGTAATTCATTATTATAATCACCATGCACATAAGTAATCCACCTTCTAAATTTAGCTACCATCTATACATTATGCAAATAGCATCCACAATTCCTCTTTTGAATTGTTCTGTCTTGCCCAGCTTAAAGAACAGCAAGGAAATGCAGAGGTCACCACAGCCTGAATTTTGCACTAAATGTTTGTTTAAATACTAATTTATAGTACGGTATAGCATAGTAGTTACAGGACAAGTTACTTACTGCAATTAAAAAGGCAAAGTAATGCAATTAAATCATAAGAATAATAATGCATAAATAATTCAAATAAAAAGTAAATATAACAATAGACACTAGAATAGATTATATATTAGCTAAAACAGAGGGTGCTAGAACAGAAGGTGATTGTACATAGATTGGCATCAATAAATTTTTATTTCTACTCTGGTATTCACACATTTTCAGGCTGTATTTCATAATTATAATAGCTCAGTGCTACTACTAATGATATTATTCCAAAAAAGTACACTTTATGCACTTCTTCCTGCTTAGCTGTGGAATTGCTACAAGCATCAAACCTTGAGTATATTCAATGTTATCTATAATTTGTTTGGAGTTGCTTGTTAATATCACAGCCATTCTATTATACATATTTCAAATAATCTGAGGAAATCACTTCATGTATGTCCAATTATAACATAAAAAATTAAGCCAAAGGATCACACTAGGCATGCTAAGATTCCTCAGATCCGTGATCTTAAAAAACAAATTGTGAAAGATTTGTAAACTAGGTAGGTATAAAATATTATTTTTTAAAAAAAATGTTTATGCTTCTCAATTTTTATTAGTTTATAATATATAATATAAAAGAAAATAGTAGGAAAATAGAGGAGGAAAAAATGGAAGGGAAAACTGTAGGGCAAGAGGGAAAAAGAAAGAGAAGGCGTTGACTTCCAAATCCCTTTGGTGCAGTAAAATAAGATAGCATCAAACTTCAACTTTTACATAATAATATTATAAACAAGTCATTTCTATAATAACAAACCTATTAATTGGTAAAACCCAAAATCAAAGTTTCATTTTTCCCACCTCAAGCATAAAGTCCAGAAGAGGTTTCCAAGTAGAAACAAAAGTGATTGTATTTTTTTCTTTTAATCAAGAAAGCCAATTTGGCCATCTCTACTAACTCCATCAAATTTTGGAACCATTCATCCGTTGTACGAATCAAAGTGTCCTTCCATTTTTGTACATAAAGTAATCTTGCTTCCTTCAACCTATATAACATCAATGTTCCATTTTTTTTTCTTTTTCCATTTTCTTCCATTAAACCAAGAATAAAAGTTTCTGGTTTTATCCTTATATTCACTTTAAGAATCTTCTGTATTAAGATTTCAATCCCACTCCAATATTCCTTTGCTTTATCACATGCCACCATAAATGATAAAAGGCCCCTTCTTTACTTTTACATTTCCATTCATTTGAAATACCTTTATACATTCTTGACAACTTATCTGGTGTTAAATACCAACGATACATCATCTTATAGATTTGTTCTTTTACATTTAATTTACTGTAAATTTTAGATCTTTCATCCACACATTCAGAACAAGAAGCAATGGGTGGGAAGCAACTTAGAACTGAGGAGAAATTTCCTGGCAGTGAGAACAATTAATCAGTGGAACAGCTTGCCTCCAGAAGTTGTGAATCCCCCAACACTGGAAGTCTTTAAGAAGATGTTGGATAGCCATTTGTCTGAAATGGTATAGGGTTTCCTGCCTAGGCAGGGGGTTGGACTAGAAGATCTCCAAGGTCCCTTCCAACTCTGCTATTGTATTGTATTGTATTGTATTCTCCCATTGTTCCAGTATTACACTACATCCAAAATTTCTGAATCATACAATGCTTTACATATTCATTCTCCAAAATATTCAAATTCAGATAAATATTCCACTCACAAGCCAGTAGTTGGCATTCATTTTTTTGTCCCCTCCTTTCAGCTATGCATGAACTAACCCATGATAGGTTCATGTCTTTTACCTTAATCACACACACCCCCAAATCAGCTCTACTACATTCAGGAAGGGCATCACCATTCTTCAACGTGCTATGTCTATGGAAATTCTCAGTCATCCAGCTCATGGTTGTCTCAAAAGTGCTTTTTGTAGTTCCTTGAAGACATTTTGCTTCTCACCCCAGAAGTTTCTACAGTTCTGAAGAAAGTTCTTGGATGAGAAGCAAAACGTCTTCAAGGAAAAAGAAAGTCCAGTTGTCTTTTGAAAAAGCACCTATAGGTTCCTCAGAGCAGCCTCCTTTTTGCAAAAGACCTCTCAACCTAATCTGAGAATGATGGCATCAGGCCTGCAGCTAGTTCCTTTTAGGATCTTTGGCCTGCCACACTCTCTATTATTTTACTATGCTTTTTCATTAGTTGGGAATTGGGAGGGGGAATAGTAAGGAGTAGAATGTGTTGTTGTCAAAATAAAAAATTCCTTCCTAGAAGCCCAAGGTCATTTTTGTCTCTGCACCTCTGCACCTGACCGGAAGTGGATGGGTGGAGATGCCAGAGTGGCAATGGAAGATTGGACCATGTGATGGACTTGTGGGTGTGGGGGCAAGATCATGAACTTTCAATTGGGTGGAAACCCCAGGAAGTTCTCAGATTCGGGTTTCCATAGATGTACCAATATGTCTCTCTTAATAAATTGGAACTTAGAGCAAGACTTTGCCTTGGACTCTGATTTAATTTTGGATGATATTTGGAACGCTGACAGATGGATGTTTCCTGTCAGAGAGGTTATTATTCTATTCCTAAAATGATAGAATTTTAGGAACTTTTCTAAATAAAGGAATCAAATTTAAAGGATATTAATTCAACCCCCCTGTATGAATTATTTTGATAGTGATCGTATTTCATTCATCCATTACATGTATAGCTTTCCTGCAAATCTCATTTTATTCCGTAACAATTAAAACAAACAAGCACATGTTTCTCCCATATACTAGAATTATTACATACTATACAATTTCTATAGAAGATTGTATAGAGTTCCCTTCTCTCAGAATCTACTTAAAGTCATGGATTAAAGTCAGATCGTATGAACTAATTCACTTTGCAGTGCTGGATAAGACTCAAAATTGACTTGGATAATTTTTGTGCTGCTTAAATTCCTTATTCTGAATAAGAGTACCTCTTCAATATCCTTGAGAGCCATCAGCTTCCAAACCTGTCAATGTTAATATTAGAAGCTATCTTATATTTGTTTGAGCCATCCAAGCTGGACTTTCTTACTTTGAATGAATTTGCTTTCTTTGAAAAGGGTTGCCATTTGGTGAATTTAAGACTTTTCACATCTAACAAATCTTTGGCATTTTTCCAAATTGTATAATGGGATTCATAAGAAAAAAGAAAAGCAACAGAGACATATAACATACCTCCTGCTTCTGTTTTATGTTGATAAAATAAAAACAAAACCACAAGTGTAAAAGACCTCAAGATGTTTTTCATTTTTTTCATTTAAAAAGAAAAAGTGTTATTTCTTCATCTGTTTGAATCTGTGTGGAAAACAACACACCCGACTTCTGGCTAAGTATGCATATGGGAGTGTATTTTAATAACAAGCAATTCTTTACATCTCCTTAAACAAAAATATTGTACTACTCATTAGTATGCAGGCATCATTCTTACAACAATCCAGTTCTTCATAACCACGTTAAACAAATTTTATTATTTTACAGAACTCATTGTATAGATGAAAAATTCAGAGGAAAAGGGGGGAAAAAACCCTAGCTTTTGATCCTCTAGACTAATGAATGTTTCAGAGGAGGAGAGAAGTAAACAAATATCAGTCTGTAAACACACTTTTCAACTGTTCCAACACTGATGGAGCAGCCAACTCAAAGAACATAGGAACTAACAACTCATTGCATTGATTATTGTTTAGATTCTGACTTTGGCTGGAAGATCCTGTCCTAAAAAAACCTAACATTCAGTATTATCATCAACTTGGCAATAATTTCCAGGTCCAAACTAGCCATTTGCTAAGCTCAGCCACACAGTAATATGTGTTTATTTTGGCCAGGTTTCACAGCATCCCTTGAGTCTTTTAGTTCATTTTGTCCTTCATCCTATTATTCCAAGTAAATTTACCTCAGATAGCATCATTATTCAAGAAACCTCAAGACTGTGAGTCAGAGGAGGCAGGTCAATGTAGACAAATCTAGTCTTACAGGTATAGAAATACTGGTGAAACCATTCCCTGGTTTCCATCAGCCATACCAAGGCACACACACACAACCATATCCTGCTCCATTTACTAAGAAATCTGTGCTTGTTTTCTGTACAGAAATAATTCCTGCACCAGTGTCTGATTCTGCATATTCTGACTCTGGAAAATGGAAGCAGGCCACTGATCATCCTTTCATTCACTTGTCTGTCTCAGAGATGGTTGAGGAATTTTGCCATTTCAGACTTCAAATAAATATTTTCTTGGTGTTAATCATCCACCGAACAAGGTGGCACAAGCCAGAAGTTTCATTTTTTGCTGGTAACTTTTTTCTTACGAGCAGCAACCAGGTCATAGAAGGGATCTCTCGTGATGCTGGTCCTAAAATAAAGAAAAATAGAAAAAATATTAAGATTTGGCTGTTAGCAAAGCACTGATTGCCTCTTTCACAGAACACAAAGGATTCTTTAAGCTGGGAAAAGCAATAAGCCATGTGATAGTTATGTACTTCCATGTTTCCACATACTTCCAACATCTTCCATGTTTAGAGGTAATGTATCATTGAAATTATACAGGCAGGAAGGCTTGACAATGGCCTTCATATTCTTTCTAAGGAAGTTTGGTGGTTACCCTAAAAATTGGATACTGGGTTTAGAGAGCTCTTCTAATGCTTAAAATGCTCATGGAAATGAAAGTAGGAAATGAGGGAGAGAGTCCTGCTGAAAAGAATATAAAGCATTATTGTTGATATTTTTTATCAGTGTTTGAAAGTGCTCAAAAGTAAATGCAGTCAGGTGGTTAAGGCATGCATGTTTCTTACTTGATGATTGTATGAGACCGTGATGGCAAACCTATGGCACGTGTGTCATAGGTGGCACGCGGAGCCATTTGTTAGGGCATGCAAGGCGTTGCCCTGTCAGCTCCAGCTGACTTCGTTTTTCTTTTGAGGCCATTTTTAAGCCTCCGGAGTGTGAAAAACCAGCCCTATGGGCCCTCTGGAACGAGCTCCCCGTGGAGATTCGGACCCTCACCACCCTCCAGGCTTTCCGCAAAGCCTTTAAAACCTGGCTGTTCTGACAGGCCTGGGGCTGATGAGTTCCTGCCCCCGCTCGAATGGTGTGGCTGTTAATTGTTTTTAAATTGTGGTATTGTTTTGTCCATGTCTTTTTTTTTCCTATTTGTATCCCCTATCCCCCCCCCCCCTGACTTGGGTTGTGAGCCGCCCTGAGTCCCTTCTGGGAAAAGGGTGGCATAGAAATATAATAAATTCAATTCAATTCAATTCGGGAATGGACTTCTGGTTTGCTCGTAGGGCCATTTTTCGTCCTCCTGAGACTTTAGGAGGCTTCCCTGAAGGCTCCAGAGGGTAAAAAAGGTCCTACAAGCAAACTGGAAGTGACTTCAGGAAGCCTACTGAAAGCTCTGGAGGTCGGAAAATGGCCCTATGGACAAACCGGAAGTCACCATTCCTGAACTGATGAGTTCCTCATACGTCTGTTTTTTTGCCCTCCGTAGACTTCAGGGAAGCTCCTGAAGCCTCCGGAGGGCCTCCGGTGGGGGTGGGGGTGGAGGAGTCTGTTTTATCCTCCCCAGGATCCTAGAAAGCCTCTGGAGCCTGGGGAGGGCAGAAAAACTGTGCCAAAAGTGGGGGAAGTGCTGATCGCGCATGCATGCACACTGGGGTCACATGCATAGCATTATGGATGTGCAGTGATGTGCAGTGAGGTTTATGGCTGCTGAGGCAGTCCTCTCCCCCGACATCCCACTACCTAAAGCACTTTCTTTCTTTCGCCTGCCTGTCAGAGCTCAGGCGGGCAAAAGAAAGAAAGCACTTTAGACAGTGGGATGTCGGGGGAGAGGAGAGAATGCCTCTCCTCTCCTCTGACACCCCACTGTCTAAAGCACTTTCTTTCTTTCGCCTGCCTGTCAGAGCTCAGGCGGGCAAAAGAAAGAAAGCACTTTAGACAGTGGGATGTCGGGGGAGAGGAGAGAATGCCTCTGCTAGTGGGCTGCCATGGACACAGAGGCAGGAGAAAGAAAGTGATTTTCACCCGCCTGAGCTGGCGGGCTGCCCTCCCTGCCTCTCCTACCCCCTTCCCTCTGTTCACTCAAACAAACTCTCTCTCAAATTGAGAGAGGGTTTGTTTGAGTGAAGAAACAAACACACACACTTACACAAACACAAAGTTGCACCAGGAGGATTAATTTTGAATTCCTCCCCCTCCCTCCGACCCACACGTACCTTTTCCAGCTGTTTCACAGAGGATTTCAACTCTGTTCTTGCTTACCATCATGAAAATGTAAAAATGTAAAAAGAAAAAGGCAAGAGCTGAGGTCAGGCTGGGCTAGTTGCTGCCAGAGTCACCATGGATGACGCTGCTTAACTATTTAAAAAAGCCTCTTAAAAACGCTCTCTACAGGAGGAGGCAAGANCAGTTGGAATTCTTTAACTGATGGAATCCGCAACATATGTAATGGGGTGAAACCAGTTATAGCAGTTAGACTTATATACCGCTTTCAGCCCTCTCTAAGCGGTTTACAGAGTCAGCATATCACCCCCACAGTCTGGGTCCTCATTTCACCCACCTCGGAAGGATGGAAGGCTGAGTCAACCTTGAGCCAGTGAGATTTGAACCGCCGAACTACAGATAGCAGTCAGCTGAAGTGGCCTGCAGTGCTGCACTTTAACCACTGCGCCACCTGGGCTCATTCAGTTCCTTAGATAGCCTGGCCCTATGTAATGTAGTACTATACAGGTCACTTTGAACTTGCATGTGCCCTTCCATGGGCATCCAGTATAGCTCTTGCGGCCACATTTTGTACCAGCTGAAGCTTCTGATACTTTTCAAGGGTGGCACCATGCAGAGCCTGTGGAAATAGTCCAGACAGAAGATAACCAGGACATGAGTTACCAAGCGGAGAGTCTTCCTATCCAGGAAAGGGATTTTGCCTACTTCTGATTAAAGGAGATGAAATTAGAATTCTGCCCTATAATATCCTACATTTCATGGCACAATGTATAAAAACTTGTTTCTAGGTCCATATATTTAAAACTCTTGCTGTGGTAAAGGTAATTTTTTCAACTTATTTATGCTAGTTAAAAACAAACAAAAGTATTGATTTAGGGCACAAACGGAGGAAAAGTATCCATCTCAAGAGCCAAATATTATTTGATATAGGTCCGTGTTAGCAAATCTATGGCACGCATGTGCACCATGGCCAGTGGTGGGGTCGCAATGGGTCAGACACAACTTCGCAACTAACAACAAAGTCCTCAACTTACAACCACAATTGAGCCCAAAATTTATGTTGCTAAGTGAGAAATGAGTTAAGTGAGTCTTGCCCCATTTCACAACAAAGGGGGATCACATGACCCCGGGACTCTCCATGTGAATCAGTTGTCAAGCATCCAAATGTAAATAGGGATGCTGCTGGGGTCATAAGTGTAAACAATGGTCATAAGCCAATTTTTTCAGTGCCGTTGTAACTTCGAACAATCAGTAAGAGAACTGTTGTAAATCAAGGACTACCTGTACTACCTCCAGAAAAATAATTCACCTCACAAAATGGCGCCAAAGGCCCTCCAAGCCTATCTCCCAAATCCCATTGTTTCTCCCCTAGATATCATCCTGTTCCCATAGTGATATTGAAGATGACACTGTGTTAGAAAGCCAACACTTGAAAAGTTTCATAAGAACATTCAGAATCGCTTTCTTGAGATACAGCAGGTGGTTATTGGCCTTTCATCATTCCTTTAGAGATCACTTGAAGTCACAAGGACACTGAACAAAGTGACTTATGGCTGGTCTTCTCACTTAAAACCATTGCAGAATCCCCATGGTCATGTGATCAAAATTTGGGCATTAATGACAGTTGCAGCATCCCAGGGTCGGGTGATCATCATTATAAGCTTTACAGGCAGCTTTCGACAAGCATAATCAATGGGGAAGCTGGATTCATTTAACAACTGCATGATTCACTTAACAACTGAAGTGATTTGTTTAACTATGGCAAAATAAAAGGTCAGGAAACAGGTCAGTTCTTGACGAACACTTTGTTTGGCAACAGAACTCTGACTTAAGGTTTTAAGTCTAGGTTGCTGGGTGGGCGTGGCCATGGTGTGGCCTAGTCAGCCTTCTGCAGCATGATGGGGGCGTTTTTGCCCTTCCCGTGCTCCGGAGGCTTTTCCTGAACCTCCAGGAGGGCGAAAACAGCCTCCCCAGCTTCTGGAGGCCCTGTGGAGGCCAGAAATGGGCCCATTTCCAGCCTTCCTGAGCTTCCATTAGGCCTGTTTTTGCCCTCCCCGAACCTCCAGGTCCACCCTGCACTTACCGGCATCCAAAATAGGCCATGTGGTGACTCCTGGGAAGAGCGGGGTGGGTGGGGCCAGCCAGGAGTGGGATTTGGGGCTTATCTGAACTGCACAGAATCTTAGCTAGAGGTTCTCCTGAATCGCTGCGAACCCCCCAGCACCCACTCCTGACAGGGGTGTCAAGCTCACATCATCATGGCTGTGTCACATGACCTATTGGGACTTCCCCCCCCCCTTTGCTAAAACGGGCGTGGGCATGGCCAGTGCATGACACATCCTATTTGTGGGTCACAAGTTTGTCAGCCCTGGTCTAGGACTACCTGTACATTTCTTTCCCTTTAAAAAAGTTACAGAATGGCAAAGGTTTCACAGTATCGCTTGGCTTCTCGGTGAAAGAAGAAGGGAGAGATAATGTTTAAGTAAAATTGGGACTTTGCCCCAGGAAGCTTATGGATCTGATTCAATTGGAGCCAAAATACTTTATTCTTTCTTTATGGCTTTTGATTTATACTTTTAAAGAGCACAGAGGAGGACTTCAAAGAGCAGCCAGGAAGGAGAGTGCACTGTTAATCAGAAATAAGCCTCACAGGCTTAATCCTAATAAGCAGGTTGATGAATTAGTGAAACAAAAGTATATGGATGAGAAAGGAAAGAAAAGAGCATTTCATTAAATCATCTCTCTTTGAATGGTGAGCTGCTATACAAATTAGGGGTTAAATTACTGGTTCTTGACAATTCCTGTTCGGCAATTCTTGTTCATAAATTCTGTTTATTATGCAAGGCTTGGACTGGCTGTCGACATAGCTACATAGCTTTCAGTTTATCCTTTGAAAAAGTGTCCCCAGCATTCTCCCCAACCACTGGCCCTCCAGGTGGCTTTCCTCCAGCCCATTAAGCGATGCCAGTCAAGCTACCCAGGCCAAGTGAGGAGCAAAAAATCAGCCACTCTGTTATGGCCTTGTGCTGTTTGCAGGAGTCTCTAGAGAAATATATACCAGAACCAAACACCAGGGGTCCTTCTAGCCCCACAGCTGAAGGCTGGCTGGCTGATTTCTGCTGCTGCAGTCTTCTGGTACAATAGGAACACAACCCTTTTCCTTGGAAAAAAGACATTTGAGTAGAAGTCAGGAGCAAGGTTGTTTTTTTCCCCTCCCTTATTAGCAAATTACAAGTGGGTTACCTAGCTTGAGGAGCCAGCCTTCCCGACTAGGATTGAAGAAAGTGTGGGTGAGATCATTCCCGTCATCTTCTGGGATGGAAAAGGGTTCGTTTTTGATACTCTCAAATAAATGCTGCCAGGGAAAAGAAGAAGAGAAAGCAAGGGGAAATCATGATGAGTTTTAATATTTGGTGTACCAGATCAATGTATCTATTTATTTGGACAGTAATAGGCCTCCTGGTTTGAGATCTCAGGTAGAGTGTCTCCCTTCCCATAACACCTGTTCCTTTTGATTGGTTTCTTTGGACCTTAACTGGATATGGAATCAGTCCTTTCAATGGACAATCCTTTCTGTATTAACTGGCAAATTTGCTCTTTCTTAAAATTAACCATATAAACCTGTTGGAAGAAATGTCCATCTGGGTTCAGTTCCAAGTGGGGAGAAAGACACTGGAAACAATGGTGGATGTTTGGAAAGATGGTTTTAATGGTGGACAGGACCACGTGGTTTGAGGTCCTGGGCAAAAAAGGCACATGGGAGAGAGGGGGGAGGGAGGAGAGAGAGAGAGGGAGAGGGAGAGGAAGGGAGAGAGGGAGGGAAAGATTGATTGATTTATACCAGCGGTGGGTTGCTCCCGGTTTGCTCCCGGTGCTCCTGGCAAAGCGTTCACGACGTGAACTGATACCAACCAGATCCAATACCAACCAGTAAACCTCTGATTTATACCCCCCGTTGAGCTTTGAATTTGAGGTTGTATTCTGATTGGTTGTCAAACTCCCATGGGGTCATGCAGGGGCAACTCTGTAGGCTGTCCTGAGTCCCAAGCTTGGTTGACTCTTGCTGGGTGATGATGTAATGAAAGCATTTTGGGATTCCTATTATGGCTCTGCCTGAAGGAGGTAGACTTTGTTATGTAGAATAGACTGGCCCACGCCTTAATGGCCCATTGACAAAAGTGTGGAGGAGCTGAGTTTCTGCCTCCATAACCCTAACCCATTTTTAATATTTCCTAAAATATTTCATTTTCGTAGGAGAGGGGTGGGTGCTAACTTCCTACAGACAAAACCAACCTGAGTCACTAAACATATGTTATATATTATTGTGTTATTAGGAGTACATGTACAGTTTTGACTAAATCCCCAGACATCTAGTATATCTGATACAGTGGAGTCCAAACAAACTTTGTTATCCAGCAAAATGAGATAGATATATGTTTTGCAATTTTCTAAAACAAAAATATGAAGGAAATTAGTTAAACCACTTCATTCTATCAGTTCTTCTCTTTACTTGTGTGTTTGTGTGTGTGTGTGTGTGTCTGTGTGTGTGTATCACTTCCTGCACTGAAACTATGTTTTCCTGCCATTCCTCTCAATCTAATGTGAAACTTGAAATTTCTTGAGAGTCAGCAATCAGTGAAAGCAGATTACTTGGCAGGTCAGGAAATTACTGGAAATATGCGGGCCATCCTAATTGACTGGCTTGTTCAAGTTCAGATGAAATTCAAACTGTTGCAAGAGACCATGTACATGACGGTTGCCATAATAGATTGCTTTCTTCAGAATAACAAAATAGCNCACGTGGTTCTCCTGCCTCCTCCTGTAGAGGGCGTTTTTTTAGAGGCTTTTTTAAATAGTTAAGCACTAAGCAGAGTCATCCACTGCGACTCTGGCAGCAACTAGCTCAGACTTTTTCCTTGTACATTTTTTTTCTTTTCATGTTGACAGTGGTGAGGCTCTGCCTACCCTGACTGCACGTGCCTGTGGGTGTGGCACGCCTATGCACGACCCCCCTGCACTCTCCCTGCTTTTGGCATGGGAGCCAAAAAAGGTTAGTCAATGGCATAGAAGTCAAAAACACCAGAGAGAGAATAATGCAATAATTTCGAATGCAATATCTCACAGAAGAGCAGTTTCATGAAATGATGATAGGTGCCTCTGTTAAGCCCACACTATAATATTGTGATATTCCTTATTACTGAACATTTCTCTCCCTCTGGGGCCTTCTTTCCCATGTCATTGTTATCCCGCCATAGAATGACAGCCTTTCCTCCTTACCGTATGGCTTCAATCCATAGGTCACGGTCCTCCTGGGAGGCTGCAGAGATCTTATAGGATTGGTGCTTGCCTTCAACCACCCTTCCATCCCCATCCGTCTTGCAAGCTTTGATCTTCTGCCCTTTGCAGTTTGCATTGAAGAGCTCAAAGCAATTCTGAGAGAGAGAAAGACGGAAAGCAGTGAGAATCAAGAATACTAACTGTCTCCGATATCTGATATGGATGTGAACATCTCTTTTGTGCTGCAGGTGAGAAACACCTTGCACCTCTGGGTGGAAAACAGTGAAAATCAACAATACTACTCTCGCCAATATTTGATATAGATGTGCACATCTCTTTTGTGCTTTGGTGAGAAACATCCTAGACCTCTCTATGATCCAGGACAAAGATCCTAAAGGGCTTTCATTTACCTTGACCTGGATAGCTGGGGATGATAGGGCTGCTTATCCAATACACCTGGAAGAGGATGCTATTTTGCAGCCTTGTTTCATTTACATTTGGATTTATGTATTCCAACTGGTTTCACCTAGTCCTCCACTTATGGACTAATATGCAGAATGGAATGCAGTTAGTTATTGCAATTATTTTCTTACAAAATGAGAATTTTGCATTTCTCCAAATGATGCAGCACAATTCCTAGACCATCCCCATCCATAAAGTACCAACATTTATTTTATGATGTACATTATAAGAGGATATTGGGAGCTAATTAGATTCAGTTCCAATAAAATGCTAAATCATGGAAGATATTACATGAAGGAGTCCTCTGCTCAAGCACTTTCTCCTTTCTGTTTTCCTCCCATGCTTTCCTTTTCTTCCATTAGTCATTTGATGGATTTCGGCAGACCCCAGTTTTAATTGCATTTTACCATTCTTGTATTAGCCACCTGAGACCATACAAGGAAAAGCAGAAAATAAGCATCTTAAATAGATCAATTGATTACTGCTGGACCGGCAAACTATGGTACAAGCGTATTTTGCAGACCAGGAATAGACATTAGATTTTTGTTCCTGTTTTCTAACCTTGGTTTTTTTATTTGCTGAAAATAAGGAAGTAGCCAAACCAGAGAGTGAAGGGATAGAAAGATAAGGCATCAACATATAAATAAGCTCGTATTCATTGGATACTTATGTGAATAGATCTGAAAATAATTAAAACAGCCTAGATCCTATGTTGAGTCCATTTTTAGATTCTATTCTTAATAGAATCTATAGAATAGAATAGAATAGAATAGAATAGAATAGAATAGAATAGAATAGGTTACAGAGAAACTGATTTTATGGAAAAGGCCATAGTTGAGGTTTCACTTGAACCCCAGATTTTCAGAATGCTTGTGATCTGGGAATATGTCCATGCTATACCACGCAATCGTATGCTGATTTTTTAAAAGCAACTCCAAATGACTAAGCATGTGCAGGATTGGCATAGTGTCAGCTGTTCAATGAAAGGAAAACACTGGCCAGGAATCTGTTTTTGATCATACTTAGGCTGGTCCTTGGCAAGAATCAGCCATTTAGTCCCCTTAGAATTATCCATCCCAATTATATGCAAGAGGTTAAAAGATCTGATATCAGTTTTGTAAGGCAGTTTAGCTGCTTCAACTTGCTCTACTCCTTTAATAATTTTCCAGCATGGCATATGGCATTCTATATAATTGATGAAATTTCCTTTCCCTTCCATTCTGATGGGTACACTAGGAGACAAGGTAGGAAACTGGTTTCTGGTCTGATACCAGTTTTTCTCCCGTGGAGTTTTCTGATGAGGTCACCCTGACCTCTGTGAAGTCTGTATCTTGGGTCCTTGATGAGTCCAAACATCGAAACAGAGGGCTTCTTCTCATCTTTTGAAAGACAATTTTAATGTAGATTTCACAAAACATTATCTCAGAAGCTCCACATTGAAAATATGGAATAGATATAAACACAGACTGTGCCTGAAAATGCAGTACAGGAAGCATTTCATAAGAAAGAAACAGCAGGTAGAGAGAAATTGTTAACCTATTGAGAGCTCTTCGAACAAAAGCTTGGAGAATATAAAATGAATCCAAGATAACTAGTTGTGGAGGGTTTTAGTTTTAAAAGAGCTGTTTTTATCATGCTTGGTAGACTTATAAAAAAGCCATAAAATTGGACTTCCAGATGGCGAAATGGTGGACTAAAGGTGGCTCCACAAAAAGAAGAAACACAGAAGCATAGAGTCATCATAAGGCTGGAAGGGACCTTGGAGGTCTTCTAGTCCAAACCCCTGCCCAAGGCAGGAGAACTTCAACATATCATACAAATGGATAGCCAATCTTTTCTTGAAAGCCTCCAGCAATGTAGCATCCACAATTCCAGGAAGCAAGCTGTTCCATTGAGTAATTGGTCTCACTGTCAGGAAACTTCTCTTTAGTTCCAGATTTGGCTCTCTCTTTAACAAGCTTCCACACATTGTTTCTTGCCCTGCCCTCAGGTACTTTGGAGAATAAGACTAATCACTTCTTCTTTATGAATGCTCTTAAAGTACTGAAAGATCTCTATCATGTCATCTCTAATCCTTCTCTTCATTAGGCTAGATATACCTACTTCCTTTAACTGATCAGTTAACTGTACAGTTTAGCCTCCAAACGCCTTATCATTTTGTTGCTCTACAATGATCAATTAAAGGAAGTAGGTATATCTATCTTTTTTCTATCATGGCAATCAGAACTGGATGCAATATTCCTAGCGTGGCCTCAATAGTGCAGTACAGAGCAGTACTATCATTTCTCATGATCTTGAAGCTGTCCCTCTGTTGATGCAATCTAGGACTGCATTGGCTTTTTTGGCAGCTGCATATTCGAAAGGATTAAGAGTCCAGTTAAATCTAAAATATGATTTTGGAATGTATTACAATGGATTTTTCATGTGGAAAATAGATCTGTTTGAACTTAACAACATAAAAGTAAACAGTTTTAAAAATTGGAGTTCTTTAATAAAATGTATATATTAAAAAGGGGAAAGAATTTGAGATCTTTCATGTCATATGGCTTTGTTTTCAATCCTTAAATAGACATTTCTTTGATGGGGTTTGGAACAAAGAAATTACAGAAGAAAAGGCCTTATGGGAGAAAGACATCTTTAAGAAATTCATGGCCATTTCAGTTTCAAGTCTTATTAACCTCCATTCTGAAATTATAACCAGGGGTGGGATTCAGCCAGTTCGGACTGGTTCAGGTGAACCGGATGTTAATTTTAATCTGGTTTGATGAACCAGAAGTTGCAATGACTGGCTGACCCTGTCCATCCTGCCCTTCCCCTCCTAGGAGTCTCCACGTGGCCCATTTGGGATGCCAGGTAAGTGCAGGGCCCACGTAGAGCCTAGGGAGGGTGAAAAACAGGTCTACTAGAACAGTGGTCTCCAACCTTGGCAACTTTAAGACTTGTGGACTTCAACTCCCGGAGTTCCTCAGCCAGCAAAGCTGGTGGAGGAACTCTGGGAGTTGAAGTCCACAGGTCTTAAAGTTGCCAAGGTTGGAGACCACTGTACTAGAAGTACCAGAAGTCTGGAAATGGGTCCGTTTCCAGTCTCCAGAGGCTCGAGGAAAGCCTCCAGAGCCTGGGGAGGGTGAAAACACCCCCCCCACACACACACACCATGGTGCAGGAAGCTGACTAGACCACACGCCCATGGCCACGCCCACCCAGCAACTGGGCAGAGAACCAGTTGCTAAAAACTTTTAATCTCATCCCTGTTTATAACTCCTGGAATTTCCAGTATGACAACTATGCTGAATTTTGAAGATGAATCCTGCCCATTGTTATAATCCAATCCCAAAGAGATGTCCTGAGAGGCAATCTTGCCCCCCAGATTGAGGAGGCTTGAACAGAGAAATAGCAGTAAGCCTGAATTGAAATGCTGTGCAGTGCAACATGTCATTTCTGATCTGCAATACATTGGAATCCTAAATCAACAATGTACAACACAGGAAGAAAAGGAATTTAGGGACTGGACTCCATAGACTTCATGATCATGACTAACATTTAAAGAAGATGTTGATCTGGGAGGGAGGGGGAGTGCAGAATAACCAAAAAAAGGAAGCAAGTAAATTCTTTCCAATTTAGTGAGAATTAAATGGTTCACATAACAGACTAAATTGTAAACATGGAATAATAAAACATAATTGTTGAATTTCCATATCATGCTATGCCCAAACAAATAAAACATGTATTTAACATTATGGTCTTGTTCTCACATGCTATTTATATACTTGTTATATATTGATTGTATTTTTATTTTCTGTGATAAAAATATAATAAATTAACAGCAGTGAAAACACAAAATTACAATAAAAATATAATAGGTGCTATGGCTGCATCTAATAACACTGTGCTCCTGCAATACGCTGGAGCAAAAATTAATTTATTTTAGCCCAATTTAGCATGTTTTACAAACCCAACAGCAATGACTTACTGGTTTCTTGAGATCATCTATTGGTTGAACTGATAGGTTTTCCAATGGGATAATCCCTAGAGGCTCTTTGTCCTAGTAAACAGCAGAAATCATAAGTGAATTGTCCCAGTGTGCACATAATATCAGTAAAATTAATGTAAATCTTAAATCTCCATTTCAACATGTCTGGTAGAAGACTTAATTCCTTTTTTTTTTCATGGGATTCCAGTTCAACAACAAAAAGTTTCATCTTACAAAAAGCCCTACAGCTGGAATGGGAAGCAAAATAAATGATTTCTTAAGAGTTTGAAATTAAGATTAAGACTAACCTTTATTGTCATTTTTTTTTACTGTGAGCACACTAGCACACATTAAGAATGAAATTNATCTTCTCAGCAACAATTCAGAAGTGATTTTACATTGATTTTTCCAGTTTTTTTAAAAAAAATCCTTATCTAACCTGCACCCTTGTACTTTCTTAGTGTTCCATCCAAATCTGACAAATTAAAAAAAAAAAAAAACTAAGATCATCTGGATGGAATTCTTTACTTGAATATGTGATGATTTTCTTTTGTGTCTCATCTCATGTACTCCCTTCATTTGTTAGGATTGAATGTAATTAAAATATACTAATCTGGTCTACAAACTGTGAATACAAAATAATCAGTCTAGTTCTTTGGGATACTTGGCAATAAATTAGTGCATCTTCTTTAGACTTATGACAGTGTATGTCTAATATCCTCACAGTAATTTGTTTTTCCTTAGCAAACAATGCTATTTATAGATACAATTAAGCAAATTCTCCTATCATTCAATGAGTATGCTGGGGATAACTGAATTTCTGAACAGAATAGTACACACAACCATTAAAACCACCAGAAATCTATTAGGAAAGGTCTGTTCATATCAGTAAAATGGATGACAATTTTAGTTTATTTTGTTACCTTACCTTCAGAAGCACTTCTTGAAGATCTGCTCCATTATTGATCCCTCTGTTCATGGACATGAACCGCTCAAATGGGGGCTTATCTTTGACATTTGGATTGTGGAGGCTGGTATTCAACATGATGACTGAGAATGAAAGGATGTAGCAGGCATCTGCCAAAGAAAAATGTAGAGTTAATAGCTGACAATAGTGGATTGCTGAATGAGAGAGAGAGAGAGACAGATATCAGTTTTATTAGCAGGTTGATACCTTTAGAGCAGGCACTTACCTTGATACCTCAGCTGGTAACCATTTTCTCCAAAACATTTGTCATCACAAAGGCAAGTTTGGGTTACATGTTTTTGTGATGGCCTCATTTTGTACACACATTGAGATTTTATTTCTGGGTCAGTACAATAAAAATATTGGGACTACTATATTAAAAAGACAGTAACAAAGCTTAAGCAAAACAGACCAGAGTCTCCTGAAGCCATAATAAATGTAAATAAGTAAAACAGTAACAGTAAGTTCTAACCAGTGGTGGGATTTAATTTTCTTACTACCGGTTCTGTGGGCGTGGCTTGGTGGGCATGGCGTGGCTTGGTGGGAATGACTTGGTGGGCATGACAAGGGAAGGATACTGTAAAATCTCCATTTCCTCCTGATCAACTGGGACTTGGAAGGCAGAGAATAGATAGGGGCGGGGCCAGCCAGAGGTGGTATTTACCAGATCTCCGAACTACTCAAAATTTCCACATCCAGTTTCTCCAGAACTGGTCATGTATTCTCTGCCCAACTTGGCACCTATTTATTTATTTTTGCCTTTAGATCCCTAATGGCTTTTATAATCAGGAAGTCCTTTTTTATTTTAGGGGTGCAGAGCATACTCTTTCACGTTAATACTTATCAGGATGTGATCAGTGTTATTCTTGCCTTGTTTGTTGCTTTTAATTACTCTCCTAACAATGAGTTGAAAATAAGGTAAAGGTAAAGGAATCCCTGCAGGTTTTACTCCACTGGTCATAACTGACTTCAGGAGTGGTGCTCATATCCATTTCTTTAAGCCATTGAGCCAGCATTGTCCAAAGACATTTCTGTGGCTCATGTGGCCAGCATGACATCCCACTGCAGCATGAAGCATACAGCAAAACATGGAACACTGTTACCTTCCCACTGAAGTGGTACCTATTTATCTACTTACATTTATATGCTTTTGAACTGCTACAGTAGGTTGCAGAAGCTGAGGCAAGTGATGGGAGCTCAGTCAGTGGTAGGACTCAAACCACTGGAGTATAGACCTTCCCCAGCATCTTTTAAGCCACTAAGCCACTCATTGAAAGGCAGTGCAGTAAATATACATTAACTGAAGCAGCTAGATCTTGGGCTTGAAAGTTAGTAGATAATACAGAAATGTATTATAGACATATTGATTTGAAGCACAGATTGAAATCAGACAGGCATCTCTATCCACGCTGTTAGGACTAGTATTTTAGGAACTTAAATAAATATCTCCATCCACCCATTCACCTGTTGACTGAAAAATGCCTGGGTTACACTGACAATACCAATTGGCAAAAGCTTCCATCATGCGGTCAATCTTCTGGGCTTCTCCAGGCAAACGGAAGCTCCACAAAAACTGCCTGTAAAGGAAACCATATCTTCAGAATCTTAGCTCAGAGTAAGGTTTTTCCTGCCATAGAAAATAGAGATGAATACAGCTTCTACTCTTATGATGTTCCAGACATTAATGAAAGCATGGTTAGTCTCCCAGGCCTTGGTAGAGTTGGGGCCCTTTTTAATTAACCCCAGTTTTGATTTCCTGTTGAGGCAATTTCTCTTTTATATGTATTTATTTTTTTCTGTTACAAATAAGCTGCCCAGAATCACTGAGGAGTTAGGTGGTCTTAAAATTCAAATTAATAGTTAAATTAACAATTCTGCTACTTCGGGTAATGTTTTTCATCTGACAATTTATTAATTGCATTGATCTTTTGACTTAGCTGAGATGAAGAGGACAATCCTTTCTTTTTGCAACAAACTGAAGCTCGGGTTATAATTGTGGCTTCACGCATGTGACTAGGATTTTCTTTACACAAAGCAGCTAAGTTCATCTAAGGATGCATAACCACTTCAGATGAGTCTAGATTCTAAAAGCTAGATTTCCACAGTATACTCAAAATTGGGTTCATTTTTGTGGCTTAGTTATTTATTTTGTGAACTTGAGCCATTTGGATAGCTTCTAGTTCAAGTTATGATACAAGCTCAGTAAACATCTTGTGTGAACACAGCACAACTATTGGATGGCTTTCTCTTCCATGCCACAAATTTAGAATCATTTTTCACAGTGGTAGAGTCTTGAATTCTTATTGGCTTTGTATAGCAAGGCTGGAGTTTATCTACATACCGTACATACATGCATGCTTTCATGCATGCATGCATAGAAATGGAACAAAAACTACTTGAGTGCATGAGAGAATTTATCCATTTGATTCACATTGGCAGCATCTCAGTTGGTTCCCCTCTAGAGAAGAAAAATGACCTTCAAGATCAAAAGAGAGCCATAGAATAACAGAGTTAGAAGGGATCTTGAAGGTCTTCTAGTCCAACACCCTGCTCAAAAAGGAGACCTTGTACTATTCCAAACAAGTGGTTGTCCAGAATCTTCTGAATAGCCTCCAGTGATAGAGTACCCACAACTTCTGAAAGCAAACTGTTCCACTGGTTAATTGTTCTCACTGTTGGAACATTTCTCCTTCCTTCTAGACTGCTTCTCTCCTTGATTAGTGTAGCACCTAGCCTCAATATTTGAGATACTTTGCATGTTTTGGAACTTACCGTAGTGCTTGCACAAGATTGAGATTGGCAAACTGGTGACATTCTACAAAAGCCTGCAGAACCTGGAGATTCAATGGATCCCTGGCAGGAGAACAAGACCAAGATAAGAAACATGGATTTTTCCGCATACCCAATATTTTCCCTGTGGCCTGAAGGCCGGAAGTGAAACATAGATGTGTTTACTCACTGACAATGCACTTACCTTTGTCCCAGGTAATCTCCTATGGCTGTTTTATTGAGTCCTTCTCCTTGGTAAAGAAATTTAGCAACTTCTTCTGCATCCAAGGAGAGTATCTTCTGCTCAACCAGATATTGAATACCCTGTTTGGGAAAATAGAGGATCCCTATGAGTTAACTGTGAATGGATTGTTGGTTCCAAGAAACAAACAAGAACTTGTGAAATAAGGGAGTGAGTGGTGGTTATTGTTATATATGACAATATATAATTATTGTCATATATATTGTTATATATTAGGAATATCATGATAGTTGTCTTCCAGTATTGAAGGACTGTTACAGAGAAGAGTGATTAGGGTTCTAGAAGTTGTGGACCACTGGAAGTTTTCAAGAAAGGATTGGACAACCCTTTGCTTGGACCAATAGAAAGTCTCCTAATCAAACAGGAGGTTGGACTAAAAGACCTCCAAGATCTCTTCCAAACCTGTTATTCTATGTTCTTTGTTGTATGACTTGAATTTATTTTAAGCCATGAATTTTCCAATATCTCAAGTCTCAGGAATATTCAGTTGCCTAAAGAAAGCGATAATAGGTTATAACTAGTTAATAATTTCTTCTCTACGTATTTTAAGATTTCCAATGGTTTTCTTTCTCAAAATTCAGCTACAACAGTTGGACCATATGTTCCTAGTAAGCAAGATATAGTCGGATTCTGGAGCTCTGCTTTAGGCCCTATGATTGTGAGAAATCAGAACTGAGATTTCTTAAGAGATTTCTCTGTGATGACATTATAATCATAGGATTCTCTTTCACGCATATGTAACTTCCTTAATTAATTGCATCAATTAAGTGAAGATGTTTTGTTCCACCAGTTTCTTATTTTATTGTTCAAGGTGTTCAACTGTCTTCAACTTGCAGCTGTGTTTACAATACTACTCCTCGATGTGAAGGTAAGTGGGAAATGGTTCTCAGTGTCAATGTTTTAGTGTTTATACGCACATTCTTATTTGAAGAAGAGGGGTTTTAAATAGGGCTGGATATATTTTCTAGTTGAACTAGTTTTGCATGTGTAGGTCCTTTAATAACCTACACATTGATCAGAAATAATAATGCAACTAATAAAGTGAACTTAAAACACAACGGATATCAATCATCCTATCAAATTATCCTTTGTGTTTTTTAAAAAAAATAGAATTTATTTTTATTTTCAAAACAAACACAACACATCAAATCTTCCTTCTTTACATACTGTAGAAAGTGTATCAGTTGATTACAAAAGGTTTTCGTGCATCTCTTCCACAGTCATTAAGCATAATTCATATTAACTCAAGTATTTTAACTCAAATATTTATACATGTTACCCTTATACCTCCATTTTTATTTGACTATAATTATTTAAACATCCTTCATCATAAAATATACCNCAAAGCTCTGAGGGGGAAGAGGGAATGGAGTTGGCAGAGAGAGAGAGAGAGACAGAGAGGCACAGAGAGAGAGACAGAGACAGAGAGACAGAGACAGAGACAGAGACAGAGACAGAGATACGGAGGTGGAGCCTGGGCCATCCATGGCCTGCAGGTGGCGAATCAACAGTCCCCAGGTCTGGAGGTGGCTGATGAGGAAGAAGAGGAACAGCTGGGTCCAGTGCCTGATGCGCAGTTGTGAAGAAGGCAGAAAAGAGGATACCAGGGGAAATCTAAGGGCTGCTCCTTGGGACGGAAGAACCACCACTGCTAGCAAAGCCTCACCCTAGCTCTGAGGATAAAAGGCAAGGGGTGGAGATGAATAGATGTGGCAGACAACTATTCATTTTCCAGCTAGATGTATTTGTTAGCCTGTGACGAGAGAGAAATTTTTTGCCGCTCCTAATAAAGGAATGGAATGGAATGGAAAGGAAAGGAATGGAAAGGAGTAGAATAGAATAGAATAGAATAGAATAGAATAGAATAGAATAGAATAGAATAGAATAGAATAACAGAGCTGGAAGGGACCTGGAGATCTTCTAGTCCAACCCCTTGCTTAGGCAGGAAACCCTACATTACTTCAGACAAATGGTTATCCAACATCTTTGAGTTAACTTTAGAGGGTTTTTCATGTTTGGGGAGCTGGGTCAGAACACAGATATTAATTCACCTCACCATGAACTGAAACCATGATCTCAGTGTCATGAAGGATGCTACATCCTTTCATCATTTTTTTTTCTCATGTTGATTGCTTACCTCTACAACCATAAGTAGTGAACCAAGCCATAACCAAACTTGAGGTATGGTAATGTGGAAGACTTCTGCTTGGATATACCAGCAGGAAAAAAATAAGGTAGTGGGCTTTCCTCCATACTCTTCCTGAATACAATTATGGCTCAACAGAACGGTCAATGTGGAACTTGAACAACTTTCTGATTCACCTAAGCTCTAATTTCTAGCCAAGAAATCTTATACATTGAAGATCATTCTCGAAGATGCTCTTACCGTGGTGTATTCAAAATAGTAGAGGCAATTATCTGTTAGAATGAACCAGCGGCGTTTCCAGGTCTTCACTCTGCCTCCTGGAACAAAAAGAGAATGAAATGAGCTAATTAGGGTTTTTTCTTTTTAGATTCATAGTGGTAAAGCTTCTTGTTACACATCCATGAAAATGTGAGGATATATATATATATCGAACAAACAATATTTGCGGTAGCTAGCACAGCCAAGGGTCAGACACTTCATCAAAACATGAAAAGTTAATTGCCAGTTTGTTTGTTTGTTTTTCACATTTCTGAACCCTCCATCTCCCTCCAAGAAGGGCTGTGGGCGGTGTATAATGAAACAAGGAAATACAAAGCAGTGTATAAAATTTAAAAGTGTTAAAATTCAAAGTTTTTAAAAATTTAAAAAGTTTTAAGGAGGCAAGAATAATGAAACCCCATTAAAAACTATTTGAAGGCAAAGGGAAGCAGGGTTCTCATGGCACCAATACATGCCACAACTGTGTGCTCCTTTGAGCTCCCCACACAAGGCCACAGAGCAGTGGGGAGTTCCAGATTCCATTCCAACCAGTATGGTTGGAATGGGCCTGGCGGCATCCACATGGATACGCACACACATGCAGCGGGCGCTTGTGTCTTAGTGTCTCCGGAGCCTCCACGATGCTCCAGCTGCTCCGTGGAGTGTCGTGTAGGCACTGTACGTACCATGTGCATGTGCGGAAGCCTTAAAAGACAGGTAAGGAGCTCATGCGGGTGGGTGGGCCATCCGGAACACCATATGGGAACTGTATCCAGTGCTCCGGGCAGGCTCCGGTACGCCCATCCCAGAGCGTACCGCTTGCAACCCACCACTGCCGCAGAGCCATATTTTAACCCTGTTTCAGAAGGCCAGGAGAGTGGGAGCCTGCCTCACTTTGGGGGAGGGGAGAATATTCCCTGGGGCAGGGGGCAAATGGCAGAGAAAGCTCTGGTTTTAAAGCCCACCAGTTGGAATTCTTTAACTGATGGAATCCGCAACATATGTAATGGGGTGAAACCAGTTATAGCAGTTAGACTTATATACCGCTTTCAGCCCTCTCTAAGCGGTTTACAGAGTCAGCATATCACCCCCACAGTCTGGGTCCTCATTTCACCCACCTCGGAAGGATGGAAGGCTGA